CTTCCTGCAAAGCCCTCTGCTTACATGCTTATCAGAACACTTCATACATACAATGTATCAGAATAGATACATCACGAGAGAAGACATTAGCACATTAGCATCATCGATCATGAGACTTCAGCACTCAATGGGTGCCCTCGTAAGATTTGGCTACCCACTGACTGTCCGACAACTCAATCCATACCATCCCCTAGCAACAAGTTGAGTACAGAGGAAGTACGGTCTAGCTGCTGGCTGATAACATGGTTTAATATGGAGCACATTACCATCAAGAAGAATCTGCACCACTGGAGTCCATAGATTCATCACAGGAAATCACCAAGTTTACTCACTCCGGCTATGAAACATTTGATGTATTAAACACGGCGCAGTGCAAAGCAACTCAATTTCAAATGCAGGAGATGTTGCATTGCTCTAGTCCTCCATTTTGTTTTCATTTATAATGGAATAATAAGACATGTCGGGGCTAGTGACTGTGCCGTGACTGAGCTCCGTGATAAATGTGACATTCTCCAACAGAGTTGATCGATGGCTAACAAACGCTGCCGCTGAGAGGTGGGGGGGGGGGGGGAATCTGTGAGGGAGCACTTCCCAGTGCCCCTAGCCCGAGATAGGAGGTACCATGGGGGTGGAGGAGACCAGGGCCTTTGAACACACAAGGCAAGCAATCACCCTCAAAGAAACCTTCACAGAGCTTCTGCCCCCAAAGCAGAACAGCACGTCCTACTGCATAGCTGAAAAAAAATCTGAATAATCTGAATCTGGATTCTTATTCTTAAGGTACGCGGGAGTGAAAAATATATATTACAAGCAAAGACCATTTTAGAGCCGGTTACAATTTAATATCCGTTCCAACATCAAATGGAAATCAATGGTCGCGCCCGGGAGGAGAAAGTCTCACCGTGATTAAAGAAAGGGACTCGCCATAAAGAAAGCAGCGAGTTCCAATCCCGGGGGGTAGGGGTGGGGGTGGGGGGGGGTTGAAGCTCTTCATAGAAGGTAGGAGAGCGCAGGAGAGTGAAAGGTGTTTTTTAGAAAGGCGTCCGAGGAGTTGAAGTATATAATGCATCTAATGCATCGCGTAAATAAGCAAGAATACAGAAAAAAGACACTATTGGAAGGATAGCTTGTCCACCTTTAGATGCTATATTTGTCTGCATCATGCAAATAGAGCCTCCCGTTAAATTATCCAGTACCACGCAAAACAAATTGCACTGATATCGACTGGTATTCCCACCTTTAAATCTGGGCCGAAATGGTTTGTCAAAGGGCAAAAAGCAGGGGAGACATATTACCCTTAACTGAAGATTTGTCATCCCCATTAAGATCTATCACCTCTATTATCAGGGATAAACCTCAGTCCTGCTTATTTAAACAAAGGAGTCGTGGAGCCATGATGGACTGGGAGTTCACCTGGAAAAATGACTGGACGCGGCCCATAGATGACCTGCTATTATGCCGTTTAATTAAACAGGAAGATCTGCTCATATACCAGTAAGGCCAGACCGCCACTGTGATCCACCACTGGGGAAATGCAACAGGGCTCACACTTCCGCCACTACAGGCTATTATATCCTGGATAACGATGCTTCATACGTGAGAAGACATTTTCTCAGTGACAAAAAAGAGCTGGTTTATTCTCTGGGCTGTGCTGTGGGGTGGAGGAATATGAGGAGGGAGAAGGAAACTGGAGTGAATATCTGAGGATTTCAGAAAGAGGAGAGAAACAAACGGGGAAGCCTGGGGAACATGCTGCCGGGAGAGAGCGCGGATCCAGCGGCCGAAACGCCACCCCGTCACTGTTGTATAATTAAGACCCGTTGGCTACCTGAAGCTACAGCAAGACAGAGCCAGGCACGCAAAAAACGGCGAGGAGGAGAGGTCTGCATGTGAGCATGTCCAAAAAACCTCATCCGACTTTCTCAGTAGACTGCTTTTCAATCCATTTCAGCATGAACTATAGAGAGGTGGCCGTGATGCAAGACTGCGGCGGCCATTTTTAATCTCCAGGCAAAGTTCTTAGCAGAAGCACAACTTCAGATATTCAACTAAGCAGTATCCGCCGGAGAAAAAAAACTAGATGTAGAAGGTGGCAGAGTTCAATATTTAAGTCCATTTTTGGTGCGAGACAAGTCAACATTAAGAAACACGAAGGATGTCTGTTTTTGATTTTATTGTCTGTTGCTATTGGGATGCTGATGCTGAGATTAGCATTCAGGTGCAAGAAAGCCAGACAGAGTAATGGGTAAGGACCTCTCATGTGGTCTAGGACAAAGAGGTCTGGGATGGATATGAATCTTTCCCAAAACCCAGGACTGGATGAGATAAGGTCCCCAAAACTACACCCCAAATATTCAGCACACAGAGGAGGCAAGGAACTCAACTGTCCCCTGACACAAAGCTTCCCATGGGCTACACAGCGAACTAGCTAAGCAGTCGGCAACAGAATGACAAGGCGATGTCTTTGTCTGCCGGGCTCAGGGTCTGTACTGTTGGGTTGGGGGGGGGGGGTGGCACTGCTCTCCGTTAACCTCCCTGGAGGGTGGTGGGTTGTTGCTGTTCCACTGAGGTCACATGTTCATGGTTACTGGGAGCCATCACGTGTTATTTAGCGTGGGGGGGGGGGGCGCCACCAATCACAGTCCTCAATTATCCAATTAATTCCAATATGTAAATCTGCCACTGGCAGGCCTTGATACATACATATAGGCTGCCTGTTCTGTCATTAACTGTCAATTCAAATATCTACTCACCTGCAAGGAACAAATACCGTGGAGGAAAATCGAGGTTTGGAAATGCGTGAAAAAATGCAGATTGCCAGTGAGGGAAATTCTCACGGGACATAGAGATGTCTGAGTAAAAGACGTCTGGGGAAGTGGGGGGGGGGCTCACTGGCACGTCGCCTTATCTCGGGCAGCAGGAGGATTTTCAGTTTGATCTGGCAACCTCTGCCACGTCACCGATTAGCATTCGCGGTGCCGTCGGACGGTGGGGTTGCTCAGTGCCGCGAGCCCTCGCAGTGTCCCTCACTGCGATTAATGATGTCGTCACGCCGGAGCCACGGCTGGCCGAACACCGATTGCAGTGGTGAGGTACATCCCCAGAGAGATACCACCCCCCGCACATCACCCCCGCATCTCCTCACAGCCAATCAAAGTCCGGGCATCCATCCTGTGATGATGCACAAAGCCTGCCAACCTGACACGGCCTGATCCAGTCCCCTTCTAATGTCTGGACCGGGCACCGCTAAGGCCGTATTGCAGGCCAGAGGCTCAGCACCAAGGACAGCATCCCCACTGCCTCCACATGTCACCTCCAGCTCAGCCCTGACCTCTCAGGTCACGCTCTCATACATCTCCACAGCTGTCATCGGTGTTAAAGCAGCAAAATACCCAGCTGTGTTTCATATAAATTGCTCTGAATTGAGAGCTTCGGCGATATGTAATGCCAATATTTCATGGGCCTCTCTGCTTGTTTACAATAAGCGTTACCTTTAAGTACCCAAACCATGCATGAAATCCGGTTTTGGCGAGCCGGTAAATGGATAATAAGCCATCGCCATAACGGCACTTTAGCAAAATCTGCCTTGGCAAGACCTTCGCGATTTTCTGTGGCACTTTACATTTTAAATTAGTTCCCTAGCTGACATGATTCATGCTTTTTTCCTGGACTTATTATGGTTAAGAACCTTACTTGACAGGGCCGGATCAAGGCTCTGGCTGGAACCTTAAATCTGCAATCTGCAGTTGCAGTCACTTGTTTTCAAACCACACTACCCAAGATGCAAAAACGCATCTACTTTCGGATAGGGATTCTCCCTCACTTCATAAGCACAGACGTCACAAAGAATCTTCAGCATGATTCTGTGTCTCCCTGCTCCGCACCTTTAAGCCAGGGAGGAAAGGCGTCGATAAGCATCACAGACTTCCAAGCTGATCAGCAGCTATTGATGGGAACTGCATTAACTGCCCTGATTTATCCCCAAAAGCTGTGATCAGACAGTGTCCCCCTCCTCCAAACAAACCGATTCAAAAAGGGGGTGCCAGAAGAGAAAAAAACAAAAGTGATTTGATTTTCCAGTGAGAGTCACCCTTCTTTCTGAAACGCATCGACATTCATTTCTAGCAGTGAATTAATTACAATGAGCTTAAACACTGGTGGAACTGCAACCTAGTGAGGAAGGGAAACAAAACTGATCTTTGCGGGGGGGCGGGGGGCGAAGGCGAGGGCAGGGGTTTAAATACATGCATATAGAGGCCGACAAGGGAGGATTTAGAAAATGCCGGTGGGTTAATCAACGTTATGTATCTATCGGCTAGAGGCATCACATTTGTCAGCGCACAAACTTAGCGCCCTGCGAGGAAGACTGCGGCTATAACAAGTTATTCCAGACAGTGGTAACCTGGGTGTGTCTCACTCACCGCCATTTATTTATTTATTTGCCAGTCATATATTCTATAGCCCGTTCTTGCGGAATAAAAAAACATCGCAAAACACGTTTCAAAGCAGGACTGCACGTATCAATGAGATACTGAAGTGCGGCAGTTTTATCCAGAATAAACAATTAAGCCTGTCTATATAAGGACTGCGCAAAAACACACAATCAGACCTAACTATGTTGTCATCAGTGGGGCAAAAACACGTTTTAAAAGTCGTATTGCAAATATTGGTATTTTCCCTAACCTGAAAGGCATTTCAGAATAAGTCGTTCTAACAAATGCTCTCCCACAGTAAACTTGCGGTTTACAAAAAAAAAAAACGATTATTTTTACGCTTTGCCTCATGACTAATCAAATTCCAAAACGTGCAATAAAGTGATATAAATAAACTTATACAATTGTATGTCTTGATACAATGATGTTTTAAAAATACCTTTCCATTAAATTATCTGCGTCCACACAACTGTCAACACATTTAATTACACGTAGCAGGTGTATGCCAGTTTTCAGATTTATCTAAGGAAAATTAAGCAGGGTTAATAATAACGAAAGACGGCTTACCGCTTTGCTCGCCCAGAAAAACCAGTTTGAATTTTCTTAATGGGTTCCCGAAGTCATTACCCACAGACATTTTGGGATTTTAATTTCTGGGACAGGGATGATCAGTGTGGGTTTCGCTGGGATGTGCGGAGATCCGCTGTGGAGATGCGCTTCTATCGGCCGAGCGACGGGAGCGCTGCACCGCTTCGCCTGCCAGCTCCGGGTCGCCACTCTGCGCATGCGCGACCTCTCCCTCCCGTCCGCCGCCCGTATGGGTGACGTCATCTATACGGCTGGCTGTCTTCAGCGTACACTAATTAACCTTAAGATATAATTAAGGGTATATGTATCGCTTGCCAAAATGTCTGCGACTTTGCTGCAAGTGAATAATTTTACATGCGATGCAGTTTTTAAGAATATGCTTCCGTTTACATTCCCCCAGGTTAATGTTATTTTTACTTGAATTTTAAAAGTGAGAAAGGTATATTGTTTTTTTAAGATGGTGCTGCGTGTCATAGCTTCATTTCTGCTTCCTCGTGCTCAGCAAGACAGAAATCTGGGCTCTTGTGTAAATCCTTTGAAGGTAGTTCCCACGTATGATTTTTTTTACACTAAAAACCCGAACACTGTACAAAAATAGTCGTTTTGAAGGTAATACAAAAATGGAAATATACAGCACAAGCAGTGAGTGTATCTGTGCACAGCGTTTGTCTGGTTTTCACGGGTGACATGGTTAAAAAAATCTTTTGGTTTTATAAATACTTTCTTTATATTTAAGTACAAAGCTTGATTATAACACGGATTTGCTTCATGATAAGACACTAGCAAAATGCATGCTGCATCTAGGTTATAGAAATTTAATTTTAATATGAAAAGCACCTCTTCTTAAAAAAATTCTGAAGCTTTTTATCGCTGCCCCCTCAAATTTTCCACATATTGATATTTTTCAATTTTGCCTTTGCAAGACAAGTTCTCTGACTCCCAGAAAGCAGCCGACGGCTGATCGTTCACTTCCTTGATGCCCTGTTCCATTTTTTGTGAATGGTGGACTAACATGGTGTCAACCTCCTGTCAAAGGGAGCACAATTGGTGTTAGTTACCACTCAAACCACACATTTGTGTGGCTAATGGGACTTTTACTCACAAAAGTGATCTGAGGGCATAAGGAAAGATGATTGGTTAAGAGAGAGAACCAGATTGTAGAGGAGGTGGGTCCAAGCAACTAGAGGTGGGACCAGCCAATCAGATATCTTGTTCCAGCTTCCTCTAGTTGCTTGGACCCACCTCCTCTATGGGCTGATTGGTTAGCTCTCTGAACCAATCATATTCTTGTTCTGCCCTCAGAACATTTTTGTGTAAGTAAAACTCCCACGAGCATTTGTGTGGGACCCTCAGGTTTGGGGCTTCTAGTCACTAAATTTGGGGGGGGGTAAGGGCCCCCAAAATCACTGAATGGGAGAGATGCATTGCATTATGAGGACTGTATGCAACTCACAGCTGAACACTGATGTGAACCGCAGGGCCTAGAGATAAACATTAAGGATTCTTCCAATATGGGCATATGCAGTAGGATCAGTCTTTGCAATAAATACACTGAATTCTCCTTTCGTGATCCTTCTTTTATCCAATACACGTGTAATATGCTGAGGTACAGGTTTAAAGACAACACAGTGGATAAAAATAGCTTTCAGAAACACAATGCATAAATACAGAACGGTATAGCTTCCTGAAATATTATGTACACTATATACACATACAGCTATGTAGTCTGCTACAGACGTGGTATATTGGCATGTGATGGAGTTCATTTATATTGTGACATCCAGATATTGCCTTCTAAAGTGAAAGTGAGCCTGAAAATAGTTTGTACGTGAAAGGCACTTAGGTACTCCGTGAATAGTAAAAGCGTTTCTAAACAGCAACACGTTTCTTACCACAAGAAATCCAATGAGGCAGGAGAAGAGCAATAAAATGGCCAAACAGGCTGCCTTCTGGACATCAGGTATGTTGGCCTCGGTGTTGGTGCACCTTGAGTGTCAAAATTTATAAATCGAGCAGCAGATCATACATGAGCCACCTTAAGTATGGTGAGGGTTTGCTCCACATGGCATGTTTGCATTTGGCGTTTAGGATGCATGTGTCCGTGTTTCAATAAAGTCCAACTGAGCTAAGTGTTGTCCTTCTCCTCCTGGAAGGACAGGCTTTGGAAGGTGAAGTGCGCCGTGACCCGCAACAGCCACGGACCTGCAGAACAAACCTAAGGTCCTTATGGAAGAACTGGGCCCGAATCATAAAAGATCTTCTGGATTCTTCTCCAAGCTGTCGTCCTTGGCATGCCATATCTTCCAGCTCACGATGCCCAGGAAGAAGATTCCCATGGCCTTCAAAGCCACCTGGAGGCCCAGGTACCTGCAAGAGCACAAATAGGAATGAATTTCATCTCCCCACTTCATACTTCACTCCATGGCGTTCGATTCTGAGGTGACCTCTTTCCCAGGACGCATCGTCACAGGAGCAGAGCGGCAGTAGTCCTACCTGTTTCTAAGGAGGTTGTTGTCATAGTAACCACAGGAGCCCAGCTTTGTGCCACACGTGTGCTTCCACCAAATACAGGAGGAGTCAATAACCATCCCAAATATGGCCGGGGCTGGCAACCAGGCTGGAAACAGGAGGAGAACGATTCATGATGAGATCTCCTACTCATTGGTTTGCTTTGGCAATGTCTTTGTCTACGGAGACTCAGGCAGTTGTGTAATTTCAGTACTCAAAAAGAGTTGGGCATTTATTAAAAAAATTAAGCATCATTTCCAAGGCTTTCTGGGGAGACTGTACAGTGGGACTTTCAGCTTGCAACGATTAGATTGCAAATCAGAAATAACCGTAAACTGGACCTCTGTCTTAATTAGGACACCAGAGTGAACATAGTTCCTGACAAGCCGATATCTCCAGTTGCTATTTCTTTGTGGGTTTGGTCTGCATTTACCATTCGTTCATATTCTACTTGGTCATTCATTTCTGCATCTTTAATGGAGCCGAAATGAGCTTATCAACACTAGGGGGAGACGTAACACAAATTTCCATTCAGCGCTGGTTTTCTCATTAGAAGTTCTCATGAACTCGTCAGCCTATTCTGAAAAGTGAAAAGTCAGAATCTACCGAAGGCAAGCAGAGATTATACCATCTGTCAGTCAATTCCAGTTGTTAGCTTAATAAAAACTCAATAAAAGCGAATGCAGTTTCGAAATCCTCATCAGTTGCAACTCACCGAGGACTCTCATGATCAAAAACTGCACTCCTATTGTGAAAGACTTTTCTTCTTCGGGTGCAGTCCTAAAATTTAAGAAGATGCAAATCCTTGTCACAGTGCAGGGAATGAAGCATCTTTATAGGCGAACTAATCTATGATCCATCATGGTAAAAGTTATTAAGTAGGGATCAATGAGCTGGCCGATGGTAGAGAGCTATGAATTTAGTGAATGAGTAGAAGTAGTAGTTAGTAGTAGTAGTAGTAGTTATGTAAGAGGATAACGAACAGAGAGCAGAGCAGCAGCACGCTGGAGCTTCATTATAAATCCCTTTAATGCTTCGCCGGACGTGGGAGGGCGTGACTTTACCGGAGCACCAACATGTAGACAGGGTTGTGGGAAAGACTGGCGATGAAGCCAGCCAGGGAGATGAGGAACATGACTGGCAGGAGGTAATGTGGGCAGCTGTTGGTACAGGAACCCGGCCGGACACTGCCAACTTCATCTCCATCTTGGATACAAAGGCAGCCACTGTAAGCCTAGACAAAGAAGAGGAGACATTTAGATTTAGACTTTTAAAGAATTTCTTAAAAATGGCATTCAGGCAGGGGTACTGATTACAGATCGCATCTAAAATAGCATGATAATTCACCCGGTGTTTGGTTTGAACAGCTAATTAAACCCGACAGAGCCAAATTAGTCCTGGTACGTTTTGTTCCGAGGGAAAATCTTACCAGTGGCAGATCAGAACTAACAATCCTTTGTTAGTTACCGTATTAATTACAATGCATTAATTTAAAACTTACACAGTATGTAAAAGTGCACAGTATGAATTCTGGAGTGTATGCTTTTTAAGTCATAAATAATTCCTCAGGTCTAATGAGAGGTATGATTTTCTGAGGTCACGAAGAATTAATGAGGCTTTCATTTGCCAGTGAAGCTGCCTGGCTTTGGGTAGTGAGTAAAGCAATTAGTCTTATCAGTCAGTTAAACCCTTTGGCTCTGCCTGGTCGATGAAGCAACCTTGTTTTGATTGGGAACAAAGTTCCCTGGGTTACAACGGGTCAGTGAAGCAACCTCATTCTGAACGTCTGGTGAAGCAGCCTGCGATTTACGGGCGGTAAATCTCCCCCGCCTTCGATCAGTCAGCGGCGGCATGCTGCGGCGGTCCTTCACCTGGGCCTTGCGGGGATTGTCAGGGTCCAAGGAGTAGGTAGTGCAGCCGGCGTGACAGGGGGAGACATATTCCCTGCTGTCTGAGCCACACACGGGGTTGAAAGCGGTGTCCAGGCAGGAGCAGTTCGAGATGCAAAATGGACGAGATCTATTTAGAGGAGAAGGAAAATTCAGCTCTGCTTTCATTTCAGAAAGCCTGTGGCATTGTCTGTGTTCCCGCTGGTAGCTCAAAAAAGAACCAGCGCCGGACAAAACAGGGAAAACGCCCCTAAAAACTACCGTCTGTCCTCAAGAGGGGAACAGATCCGCAAGATCTTATAAACATTTTTTTTTCTAGTAGCATTCTGCATGGTGTGACCAAAAGCTTAGCGGAAACGTGACGACATGATCGCAGGCCCCCCAGGGGGGTCTTATCAGTAGGGGGGAGGGGGCAGCTTCTGGGACCAGCTGAACCAGGGATTGCTACCTCCTGTATTCAACTCTGATCACGCTGGCTCAGAAGACGTGCCATGTATAGCCACCATGCTAACATGTGTGCAATAACCTGTGACAATTGTCACTTGTCACTCCCGCACATTGTCATGTTATTGTAATGCAGTCTGTTTCTTTATAATCAATTTCTTTAATACCTTGACATACATTTACTTTTATATAGAGTTTACTTCTGTGTATTGATTAGCCCTTTTACATATTATTAATTTCATTTATTGCTTCGGCTTCAGAAGTCAGCAACATAGTCTTAATTAGAATAGAACTTTCGAATCTTGAATCATCTATTTTCTTGAAAAGACCCGACG